TGCACATGTTCCAAGGAGAACTACGGGCACGATCGAAAAAGAAGTCAAACATGCCACGATCTCTCCCAAGCTATGATCACCGCACTCGAACACACTTTTCAGCTCTTAGCAGTGACGATCACTCTGGGTCACCCACCATATGTGTTTCCATCCTATCCCCTACATCATATGTAAAAACCAATGTCTCGTCATCGCTGTGACATGAATCATGGATTTTGTGGCACACACACCGACAGAAAGACAGACAGCCTTTTTTATATAGTGGGGATACGTGTCAGTTTAAGTTGATTGCGTGTTTTACTGACCGTGCTGAACAATAGTTAAAGAAGTTGAAATCTATTGATGACCATGTACGCGACTTCGATCAAGTTTACGACTTACTTTGGGCTATACGAGTGATTTCCAAATGAGAAATTTTTTGTATGAGGCTCGAATATAAATGCTCTATCTCAGCTGTGCTTGCCACTTTGTGCTCTCCGTTTCTCTACGGCTGTGCCCAGTTTACAACTCAGCGAGAACATAAGCCGCAAGAACCGTTCAGGTCCTTCTGCGGCAAAGCACGTCGAATTGTCATAAAACAGGAGAGCAATAGTTTTCAGCAATGTGACAGTGACTGCAAAAACAACTGTTTTCGCCGAATAGGGTTTCGTTTATAAAAAACTCGTCCAAACACCAAACTACTTGAATGTACTCTACCAAACCTTGAAGTCTATTTCTCAAAGAAATCCTATGTTTACGGGCGATCGACGACTTTCCTTCTTTGATGAATGAATTAGTTGATTGACTAGCTTCAGTCAGAGCGCCTTAACGAGCATTGCAGCTCGCTTCGCAGGACCCTGCGCTAGTCGTCCATATTAGTGTTTTTGCCAGAAGATTTCAGTTTTACACGCCTTCTGACGTAAAGCTGACACAGGCCGAGCGTACATGGTGATTTTATTCGACGTAATTTCGAGATTATACGCCATTCCTTCTGGGAAGATTTTGATGATCATCTTCGGGCTCTCTTATTTCTATTCCTAGTATGAATTGGGAGTACCAAGCTACTGTTTTCCTTGAGCTCCCAGAAATGGTTTCGGTTCACGTGGTAGAAAAAAAAGACTTGCTTTCACTCGCGGAGGGAGGAGAGCAGCTCGAACCGCAATTCTAGTGGACTTGCCATACATCGAATAAGTGCTAGTTTCGTTGCTGATTGAATCAAAAAATCCATCTGTAAGGAGAATGCTGAGGGGTCTAATATGATTTCGCAATGGCTCCAAAACTGTAAGAACTTTCTTAAAGATACGGAAAACCAATGGATAATCCAGTGACTCATGAGTATGAGTATTTCATACAGTGTGTTCTGATTTTGTAGGTTGCGGTCGGCGATGTTTTCTGGAAGCCGACATATTCGTATTTTTAGGGGGTGCCCTGTGATTTTGCGATGCACTGTAGCACAGAAAAGTGTGGGGCGATTTTTTACAGTGGCACCCGCAGCGGACTTCTCGTGTGCATTTATCATCGTGATCAACTCCTGAAGCCCTTCCAGAGCAAATCCATACACTAACCATAAGCGGTTGAA